AGGTTTATATACCAATAAAATAATGGTCTGCATAAAAACTATAATAATAATTATAGATTAATACTATACATTTTAATTGTGTTTCCGTTTCTATATCAAACAGTGCAGTTTATAAAACACTTTGTTTCGGATTTTTAATAATCAATTGTTTGTTATTTTGATAATATTTTCCGCAAAAGTATAAGCCGTTTATTGTGTGAAAATATGTACCAAATAGTGACCAAACTATTGTTTTCACATCATTTATGGTTGATATCAATTGGGGTTTCATTACTTTTTTATCGGGAATATTGTGTCCCAATCTGTGGCCACTATTTTGACCCCAACTGAAGACATGTCCGTCGGATGTGATGGCAAACGACGAGTCATTATAACAATAAACGGATTGAATTGTATATTTCTTGAATTTAATCTCAATGGGAACAAACATATCCCTACCATCATCACCCAAACCAAGTTGACCAGAATGGTTTTCACCCCAGGCATACACCCGGCCATCATCGGTCAGCGCCAGAGAGTGTGAATAATCACAACTGATTTGAATAATATGTTTCCTATTAAAACATGTGATTATTTCTGGCTGCAAATAATCATCTTGGTCATCACCTTCGGCCAATTGGCCGCATTGGTTACCACCCCAACTAAATATACACTTATTATCATTGATGGCTAAAACAAATCTGTATCCATTGATAAAGTATTGGATGTTTTGATTACATAATTGTTTAATTACTTGTGGTGTTGAGATCGGATGGTTGTGTCCAAAGCCAAGACATCCATTGCTATTATTGCCAAAACCATAGACCATATCATCGTTTGTCACAAATAATACATTTGGTTTATTAATCCAATCGTTGAAAACATACAATTTTGATACATTTGTCGGGATTTTACCACAAAAAGAAAATTTCTCTAATAATGTACACATTTTTACAAGAATTATAACAAATATAACATAACATTACAATTATTGTTTGATTTTAATTATATAATTTAGTGTTTTAAACAGTATAATAGACACACATTGTGTGTATAAAATAACACATTGAATACAACCATTTGATAACTAATCGTATAATAAGTAAAATCCAGTGAATGTCTCGACTTAAATATGATAATATTCATACAATACAATAGGCATACATTTCACTCATACAAACAACTTTATGATCATGAGCATTTAATCTATTAATATTCAGTAATAAAATGTAAAACTTTACTTTATACTGTAATTGATTATTAACTCTTATAATAGTGAATTAAATGTACTTTATTTAAAGGTAAAAAAATGTTTATTATTAATAAAATAATATTAATCCATTACCCTTTTGCAATAATGACAATTAACTATCAATACAATGACGATTATAAAGGTGAAAATTATTTTAGGTATTTAAGTAATTTTTATTTTCAATAAAACTATAAATATTGTGTATAATATGGATATAATGTGAGGTTAATTACAATCATAATTAAAAACACAATAGAAATATAATAATAGTTAATAAATGTTAGAATCCGTTGAATTGATTACAACCCGTCGTCAACTCTAGAGGTGTATTAACCAATATTTCTCTGTCTTTGCGAAATATGGCCACAAAATTCTTGCCTAATTTGCTATAAACAGCGAATTTCAAAATAGAGAGGGGCTTTTATTATTTGAACGTGGTTAATGTTTGACCTAGAGTAGTCCAAATTGACTCAGGGTTAACTTTTGACTCAGGTTAACCCGGGTCAAAGTCAAAAGTTTTTTTGACTCGTTGGGTTAAAAGTCAAATTTGTTTTTGACCCGGGTTAACCCGGGTTAACTTTTTGACCCGGAATAACCCAAAAAATAAGAAAATACCCTAAATTTTTTGCAAAATATCCTAAAAATAACCCATATAATTACATCAGCCTGTCAAAAACGGTTAACCACTTGATCTTGACCTACTTTTTTGGGTGCATATGCACCGATTAAGAGATGCGAAATGCGAAACAAAAAATGCGAAACACGAAATGCGTACGTACTTTTGTTTAAATGACACCATGCGAACAATTGCGAACATAGGGGGAGGGGGTCTAGATTTCTTAAAAAGTGCGTACGCACTTTGTGAACAAAGTCTAAGATGATTAATTGTTCATATATTGTGTATATAATAAATGTACAAAAATTAGAAACAATTAAAAATAAATATAATCTAGTCAATTCAATTATATTTAAATTATAAACGATTAAATATACTGTAAATATAATATAGTTAATTCAATTGTATCGAAAGAAATAATTAATTATAAATATTATACATAATTAATACTATTGTTGTTATGACAACAATTACGTAATATGGTCAAAAGGTTAACCCGGGTCAAAGTCAAAGTCAAAGATTTTTTTGACCCTGAGGGTCAAAAGTCAATTGGTTTTTTGACTTTTTGACCTTTGGACAACACTAGTTTGACCTTATTAATTTTTATATATTACTCACTATAAATGTGAATAGTGTATGAATAATGTGCACTATTTTTATAAGTTTGCACTACGTTGGCACATTGGAATTATGTGGGTATAAATAAATGCATGAAAGTTATTAATACAGTAAATTAATATGTAATAAGTGATACAGTATATTAATATGTAAATTGATATTGGGCAAAGCATAATGGTATTAATTAAACTAAATTATACAGTGCAACCTCTCTTGGGGGAACTTCTCTTGGGGGAACACCTCCTCATAAGGAACGGATTTGAGATCTATGTTAGATTTCCTATACTTATAATGTTAAAATAACCTCTCTTAGGGGAACTTCTCGGTAAGGAATACCTCCCCATTAGGAACGGATTTATAGAGATTAAGATAAAACTTCCACTCCCGATAAGGAACAAAGTTAATCATAAGCACATGATATGTAAAATATTTAAAATATTCTCAAACCTAAGACTTTAAACAAATAGAAAACACATTTTCATTCAATACTGTAAGAGTTGTGATAAACACTACATTCATAGTTTGATTAGTGAATACTCGAAAGTTCTATTTTATATCCAGAGACCCATCCGATGAACAAATGTTTGAACAATTGGACAAAATTATGACTAAAGCATTTAATTGTCATTTAAATACAGCTAAATAAACTAAAATTACTGATTTTCAAATATTAATCCAAAATAAGGCATTTTTACTCAAACCTCCCTTAGAGGAACCCTCCCTATAGGGAACACTTTTGCCGTGCAACTGGCCGTTCCCTATGGAGAAGTTGCACTGTATAATAAATATTTTATTTGATCATTTAATGTTGAAAATTATCATTATTTTCTATTTATAAATATTTGCACATGCTTTACATTTCATTGAACTGATTTTTAATTAATAAACAATTTTGTTTGTGTCTTAACCTCCGATTATTTTGTAAACATTAAATATTTATAGTTTAATACTTATAGACGAGTCTTGTCTAGTTTGTTTAGTTATAAGTTTTACCGTACTAGTTCATGTTGGTTAAAAATAACACGCGATCAGCTTATGTTAAACAAACAATGATAACAAATTTTTCCAATAAATTCTTAGGTTTGGGCAAAATTAGAAAATTTTAATTAAAACAATAAATTAATTTTTTATATTTTTTATCAAAAGCTCATTAATTCCAGTATAAATATTGATACATGTTTTTATGGAAGACCCACAAAATTAATGTAATTGCATAATCCTATTGGAAACGCATTAAAGCTATTGTAAATACAATTAAATTTTTATGATATGCAATTATAATTTTTCAACTAAAAATATATACGATATAAAAATATACATTGTATAACTTATTTTTAAAAATTCTTAAATTAGAATATAATGTATCAAATAGAATTTAAACCATTAAAACTTTATTAGTGAAGTATTTGTGTGTATAGAAATATTTTACCAAATTGTATAGAAATGTTTACATTAGATTGTATTTGTACTAATAAATGTAAATGTTGAAATAAAGAAAAAGTCAATTTTATCTTTAAGTAAAGTTAAATCAAAATTAATCCGAACCAGTTTTAATTGGATTTAACAAATTATTGCTTGTTTAATGTTATTTTTCTTGCTTTGTATTTATATTACAATCTTGTATATAATGCTTTTATGAGTTAAGTATTTATTGCAATATCTCTTTTAATATGGATTGACAACTATTAGAAAAATATATTGAAAAAATAAACTAATAATGTTGTGTTCTAATTAATAATTTATAAATGTAAATATTGTTTGTAATTATAATGAGTTACAATTCAATAAATGTAAATTCATATCAAAATATTTATGCAAAAAGTCAAACAAAATGGTTTATTATAAGAGAATTTTTTGCAGAATTTATCGGCACTTTTATCATGAATGTAAGTATTGATACATGTCATATAAAGTTAATACAGCATTTATTAATAATAAACTTATAATTGTTTTTAAAAATAACTTAACCAATAATTTATCTAGCTAATGATAACGGGTTCTGTGGCCTCGTCTACATTAAAAGCTAATAATTCTGAAAATCAATTATTTGGTGTCAGTATTGGCGCAGCGGTTGGGGTATTGTTGGGCTCTTTAGTTAGTCTATCAATTTCTGGTGAGTAGTGTTGCCACATGTTATACAATATTCTAAGTAAAATAATTAAATAAATATATATTTAATTTATTTAGGGGCACATCTGAACCCGATAGTGACCATAACACTGGCCATCATTCAAAAATTTAATCCAAGGAAAATTTTTTGTTATTTATTAGCACAATATTTGGGCGCATTTAGCGCCACAGCACTTGTATTTGCTAATTATCGCAACGCTATCAACGCGTTTGACGCCGGGATTAGATCGGGTTTTGGCCACAAAACAAGTACAGGACTTATATTTACAACATTTCCCGATTCAAGTGCCGATACTTTTGGCGTTTTCTTAGACCAGGTTTAGATTATTATATCATTTCTATTAATTATTAATTAAATAATAATATTTTTAATTATATGAATAGATTATATGCGCATCGATACTAATGATAGCAGTGTTGGTCACAATGGACGAGACAAATGTACAAATACCCAAATATTTAATACCAGTGTTTATTAGCATGATCATTTGCGGTGTGATTATATCGTTTGGTTTTAATTGTGGTGCGGCTCTAAACCCGGCGCGAGATGTATCGGCCCGTCTATTCCTATTGCTTATGGGCTATCATAACAATAGTCCGTTCGCACCCCTGAATGGCCTGTATTGGCTCATCGGTGGCATTATTGGCCCCCATTTTGGTGCTATCGTTGGCTCTTATATTTATATTGTATTTATTGAAAAACAAAAACAGTTAAACAGTGAAAATGTATTATTATTAAATAAAACGTGATCGATTTAAATAGTTTAACTATACAGTATCTATTTTATCTCTCATTGAAGGTCTTGCTTTACTTAATTACAGACTGTAATTTACAGATAAACTTAATTTTTGTACTTACCCATGTTGTAATTCATGATCATTGGCAGTCCCCATTCCCGGAGACTACTACACTTATATAAAGTTTTAGTTTTTATTTTTAGAAATTATTTATTATAACCATTCTTACCCATATAACGCAAAATATATATAATTAAAATTTATATATTAATATATTATTTATTTATTCTTGATGTACTTACAATAAGTGTACCTAAACAGTTTTATAATATATAATACATTTTAAAAAGTACATTTATTGTACAATTTTATTATGTATTTTTGAATTTGTAAGTGCGTTAAATTTGTTAATTAATTGACAGTTAATTTTTAATAATTTTCAAATTTCCTGATATATTTAAACTATATTTAAACAGCATAAATAAATTCCATGAATTTCATTATAAAAACACAATGTACAACAAATACTGTATTTAAATTGAAAAATAAATTTATTTTAAACAATCCAACAATATATAGAAATTGTTTTTATATAAAAACCATGTAGATTAATTAGCATCAATACAAGATTAATTTGTCAAATATTAAAAATACTAACTAACAATAAATTAGAAATACAATACATGCAATGTTAAAAGCGATAATTTTGTGCTTGATAATTTTAATGATTTATGGTTGCGACCACTTAGTAATAAGCCATGGAGGTGAAGGTGAGTTTGAAAAGATATTCTGTAACCCGGATAAAACGGGCTCGGCCATGGTGACCAAGGTTATTGAATGCCATGATAAACATGAGAAATCACAATCGGCCGAACTAAAAGCCCTCGATAAAAAAGTATGTATTTAAATAACTTATAATTATTACTCATAATCTTGCTATTATAATTTATGTAGATTGAAACGACTTGTCTAAAGCAATGCAGTGGAAAGTCGGGTGATATGAGTGCCTATAAAAAGGTAGATTTGACCAAGGTGGATTTAAAGGATATGCTGATTGAAGAGTGCGACCCTGGTTACTACAAATGTATAAACAAACTTCTGGAGTCTGATGCTAATTTGATGGCAGATGTGAAAAAGGCTGATAAACTCAAAGATAAAAAGAATGATGATGTTTTTGATGTATTTTTATTTAATTATTATTACATTAATCAATTAATAATTACAAAAAAGTTATCAAAATTTGTTTATTGTAGAAATGCACCATGGACGCTGTCAAGAAATAGGACATCTTTTGCTTTTATTGTATTTTGAAATTATTTTCCTTGCATTCATTTTGTAAGACATAAATAAACATGTTTATTAATACGGCTTAAATTAATTAATTAATTTATTTATTTAATTGTTTTAATATAACAAGAATAATACATTAAAATCAAAAATAATTTGATTTGTAATTAAATCTTAAAAAGAAATTTACACAAATGTTATTTAATGAATGCTAATTAATAATAAGTTAATTAATATTATTGTTAGCTATATTATTATATAAATTATTTAGACAGGATTTTGATCATTAATATATTTTTTCTATAATTTTAAAATAATTAATAAATAATTTGTTAAATGTGAATAAACATAATGGTAATAAAATATATACAGAACTGCCTAGTTGACATTTATTTTTAACATTCATTTTAAAATACTTGTTATAATATATTCGTGCACCAATTTATTACAAAACAAAATTAGCAACTATGTTGAGAACAATAAATTTGTGCTTGATAATTTTACTAATTTGTGTCGACCAAAATACTGTAAAGGCTACCGATGCCGAAGATGCTAAATTTGAAAAGTTATTTTGTAATGCAGATAAAACAGATTCAGCTAAAGTGATCATGATCAATGAATGCGAAGACAAATACAGAAGTACCATGACAGCCGAAGCTAAAGCTCTTGCTATTAAAGTTGGTTATTTAAATATTCATTCTAATTATTAAAGCTTGATTATTTTTGGATCATATTTATTGCGATTATAAATTTAATATAATCTTGTTTATATATTACTAGATTGACCAAGCTTTTCATAAGAATTGTTTGGAAAAAACCGGTGATATGAGCAAATTCACAAAGGTTGACCTAACCAAAGCAGAATTAAAAAATAGATTAATTGATGAATGTGACAAGCGCTACTTTAAATGTATGACCAAACTCATTAACGGAGATGATAAATTAAATGATGATGTGAACAAAGCATATAAGCTCGAGGACAGAAATGAGAAAGATAAATTTGATGTACTATATTATTTTAACTATTTTAATTAGATTTAAAAATTACTAATAAATACTGTTCTTATTATTTAGAATTGCACCATGGAAGCTGCTATGAAATAAGCGCTATTTGAATTTGGTTAATTAAACTCAATGATAATCACATTATTTAAATATAAAAAAGTTTGTGCTCACTAAAATAAATTACCAATTTGATCAATTCTTGTTTGAATTATTTTTAAAAATTTAAACTATAGATTGAATGAGAACTGAAAAAATTGCAACTATAATTTTTTAAAAATTCATTACTAGATAAATGTAATGTAAATTTAAATAATGTTAAATTTTTATGATTTCACACTTTAAAATACAATTTTGAAATGTGAATAAACATTATGAAGGAAATAAATATATTAACAAAAGGTACTTTGAGTTCACGATTACATAAAATAATTAACATTTAATACAAAACATGATCATGCCTATAAAACCCAAACATGAACAAAAATAATAATAGTAAGAAAACCCTCATACCATGATGAAAACCATTGTAGCCAATTTAATTATTTTAATAATTTATAGTGGGCTCCAACATGTATGTGGCAATAATGCTATTTTTACTACATTGTTTTGTAACCCTAATAAAACGGACTCAGCTATTGTGAGCAAAGTTATTGAATGTGGTATAAATTTTATAAATTCAACCACACACGAAATAATAGCTCTTTGTGAAAAAGTATGTATAGTTTTATCTTGTTATGTCAAATATAACGACTTAATTATTTAAATGTTATTAAAAAATTTATTTATTTATTCTAGGTTGAAAATTCATTCAATGATAAGTGTTTTAATAATAGTACAGATATAAATGTTTACAATAAAGTGGACATGACCAAGGCAAATTTAACGTCTATGTTAATTAAGACATGCGACACTGGATACAAAAATTGTATTAACAAGCTCATTAAAACTGATTCTAATTTGGCAAACGATGTGACAAAATTAAATAAAACCAGAGATGAAAACCATTTTGACACTTACGAGGTTTATATAAATTTTAAATAATGGTCTGATATATTAATTAATATCATTGTTGCATATTTTACAGAAATGTATATTGGACGTGGTGAAAGAATGATTGTGATGGAACATTTATCTACTACAGTATTTTAATGTCACACATTTTACTAAACTCTCTTAACAATAATATTGAAAATTTTGAGAGAGAGAGGGAGAGAGAGAGAGAGAGAGAGAGATTTTAATCTGAATTATAAATTTTATTACAAAAGTAATAAAAATTGATTATAATTATTAAACCAAAATTAACAATAATTAATTTGCTAATAGTTTATAATAATAACATAATGACTTAATGATGTACCATTTAAATCATAACTATATTTATTATTTATTAAAATAAATTTATTTAAACAATTGCTGATTGCACCATTAGTAGATAAAAATAATTTCTATCAAAAATTCAATTTCTACAATGTGAATAAATATGCTGGTAGTAAATAAACGATTCAATATTGCAGTGCATGTAGTACACGCTGTGTACACAGATTTACGTAATTATATTACTTAAACTTATGAAAACCAATTGTCAGACATATAAACATTTATCCGTAATTTAATAAAAATACAATTACATAATTATAAACATGTTGGGATCACTAGTTTTAACAGTCGTAATTTTGCTCATCCATGATGGTCATCAATTAGTATTAGCTAATGAGGCTGAGGATGCTAAATTTGAGAAACTATTTTGCAACCCCGGTAAAACCAATTCGGAAATAGTGGACATGGTTAATGTATGCGAAAATAAATACAGGAGTACCATGTCGGCCGAAATGAAAGCTCTTGATGATAAAGTATGTTAATCTTAATTTCTATATACAATTTCTTTATGTATTATAACAATTTATAATGTTATATTTTATATTGTAATGCTAATTATGTAGTTTTAATTATATTTGTCTAGATTGAAAATGCTTGTCATAAAGGTTGTATGGAAAAAGCCGGTAATATGAGCGCTTATACAATGGTAGATCTGACCAAGCCCGTTTTAAAGACCAGATTGATCGATGAGTGCGACCCTGTTTACTTCAAATGCATCACCAAGCTCATTGAGAACGATTCTAAGTTAGCCCAAGATGTTGACAAACTAGAAAAGCTTGAGATTAAAAAAGAGACTGATGAATTTGATGTATGTTGTTTTATAAAATGTTTATTTATTAATTCGATAACTATCAGGCCATTTATTTAAAATTTTAATTTATTTTGTAGAGATGCACTATGAATGCTGTCGTCCAGAAGCCGGAATTGTACGCTAAATAATGTCTTTCATTACTGGGAAAATTAAATTTAAAGCAAATAATTCTACAGAAATTATGTAAAATTATTAAGAATATTAAAATTATGTAAAATGCAACAGAATTTATTAGTTTATTAAACTACTACACAATATTAGTTTATCCAATATTAATTTTTGAATCTGTTAAATATAATAAGCAATTACTTTATTGACATTTAAATAATAGTGTTTATGCAATAAATACAAATTGAATCAATGTATTTCATATATAAATAAAAAGAATTTTCATATTATTGCAAACATAATTGTATAGAAATTTTTACAAACTGTATAAAAAACTTTTTTTAAATTTATATTTGTAAACTTCTCAAATAATTATGTATTTACATTAATTTAGTGAATTTCCCATAGGATTATGTACTCGCATTGATTTCCTAGGATTCCTATAGGAACATGCAATTGTGGGTTTAATTTATATCACTATCTAAAACTAAAATGTTTTATAAAAATATTCCATGCACTTTCATATATGTAACTAATTTCACATTTTATATTCTTTAAAATGTAAATATAAATTACGATAGTTTATTCTGAAATTCATGATTCAATTTCATATAAATAAAATTATTTGCACAGACGTTGATTGCACCATTATTAAATAATTTTGATTTATATTAAAATTATGAACAAAATGTGAGTAAACATTATAAAGAATTATTATAGATAAAATATTAGAGATAAAATAAATGCTCAAAATGCTTGCGTAGAATATTATTTTCAATAATTGTAATCAATTACAAAACATATAAAACTCTCTAATATTATTCATTCACAAACACAATCAATTTACAATGTTGACCATGTTGAAAACACTAATTTTGCCTGTGGCAATTTTATTCATTTATGGTAGCCATCAAATAGCATTAGCTAACGATTCCGATGATATCGATGATGGTAAATTTACAAAACTATTTTGCGACCCTGGTAAAACCGATTCGACTATTGTGGCCAAAATTAACGAATGCGAATAGAGTGACCAACTCAAAACTTGAAAAATCGGGATTTTAAGTAAAAAATTGCTCTAAATTTCGGGATATTTCGGGATATTTTATATATGATATCGGGATATTTTTCGGGATACGTGTATTTGTGTAGTGTAGTTCAATATTGTGTCATTATA